AAGTTTTCATGCACACGAAGAGACATTTATCTAGTTAACAGAAAATTAAATTATTGCGAAATTTTATTTAAAAATTTAAAAAGCATAAATTTTTGTTTGTGGGTTTTCTCCCCAGGTCTTACATTGAAAAAAAAATGCCCACTTAGAAAGAAAAAAAAAAAAGCAGAAAGATTACGGTAGGCAGAATCACACTTTCTAAAAAAGTGGATATTTTTTTAGACAAAATTACCTTTTTTATGTTCAATTCCCTAAATCTTTAATATTAAGTATTAATTAATAAATTTCTTAAATAGGCTCTAAAACCATGATTACTAGGCACTTTTAAAAGGTGAGAACAACAACGTTAATTGGAGTTAATAATATGTATTACATGCACGAAATATTCACTACCTATGCAATATACTTTTCCATTTAAAGAAAATTATTTCTACAACTTTTTTCATTGAATTTTTAATTTTATGGGAAAAACTATCGGCGTTGCATACGTTATATATGTACTATTCCATATTTCCCGTGTAAAAATATGGCATTTTGTTGTAGAAAATGTCATAAAAACAAAAAAATACTTGAAAATTTATTTAAAAGATGAAAAAATAAGTTTAAGTTATAAATCATATTTCTGTTGAAATTATAGCGTCTATACAGACGAGGTACATTATACTGACCATACTTTGTGCTTAGGCATGAATGCTGCCTCAGATTTTCGTTTGGGTAAAAATACATTGTAGCTAATTTATTAGCAACAAAAGAAAACATTGACATATATGCGTCATTAATTTGACTAATTTTCGCGGATTCTATTTAAAAGATTTAATGAACCAGCAAGACACAACTTGGAATAAAATGTAAAACTAAAATTTTTAAACCCTTAACTAGAAATTTTTTAAAAATTTATATTTAAGGGCCCTAAGCAAATGCCCCTTCCGACCATGAAATAATCACTCCCTGATTATGACTATAATAAAGCATCCAAGATCGACATTAAGATCTCATTTATTGAAAGTTAATGATCTAGTCTCCAAGCGAAGCTTAAAAATAAGTAAATAAATATCAATTTTAGCCAAAATGAGAGGTCGCAGTGTGGACAAGTGGAACTAAAACTTCTCTGCTTCGTATATGATTAATAACTGAAGTTTCATTAATAACCAATTTCGATTTTTTTTTTAATCCTCGTGCATGCGCATCGGGATAAGTAAAGGAAGGAAAAATTAGATCACAAGAAGATAAATTGAGGCATTGTCATAAAAATGAATAATTATAATCTATCATTAACGAAATAAAATTGTTCCAAGACATTTTTTTACCTACCTAATTGTAGTTTTATTAATTCTAATATAAAATATTATAGCAATTAAGGAGGGAGTGCAAAATTAACAAAATATATTAAGATTAGCAATAAAAACAACTTAGAAGTAATAAGAAAGTAAAGAATTTCTTTCTTGTATTACCATATTATTACCCATTCTCTTTTAGGAAATTATTAACATAAATTGTGACCAAGAATTATCTAATACACCTTAATAGAATTGAGTATTGATTTAAATCGCGGAATGGATCTTGAAACTGATTCGAAGATCGCTTAATTCAAATCATTCGATTTAGACCTATAGGTTCAAATAATTTTATTTGATTCTACTAATTCAATTACTCAATTCAAAACCTTTAAATCATTATTTTGGTTGCTTCATTTAAGAAATACTTTTTATTTGAATAATGCTACAGTTACACAAGATAAAATTAAAGTTTTTTAAAACTGTTGAACTCTTAGCAAATTAAATTAAACCGAACAGAAGGCATATTTGAATATTTTATTATTATTTTTTTAAAGGCAAATCAGCAATATTAGTACGTTTATAAGTAATATATATTGCTGATTTATATGCATATTGCTCGAATCAACGAATTTGAAGCATTGATTCGATTCAATGCTTCAAATCACTTAAATGAATAAACTTCGAATCACCTTAGCCCTTTGACGCAAATGAGACACCAGATTCTCTTTTATATATATTTTCGAATGCTCTAATTACAAATAAAAATATATTTCGGTATTTTTTAATTATAAAAAACAGTCTAATAGTTATAAAAAAAAAAGGAATTATATTGGTACTAAAATATAATAAAAAAAAGTAAGATTTTTTTTTTCATTTACATTTAAAGATTTATCAATAATTAATTTTACTGTTTCGTTAGATCTAAAAAACTGCAAATAAGTACAAATTTGAAAAATTATTGTTGTGAAGATTTTACCATTAACGCAGAAAAGGGCATCGGTGTTTCAGATTGTATTTCAAAAACATAAATTATTAAAATGCAAAATATAATATTTTTCACTTATTTTGACCTAAATTAATAAAAAAAAAGTATGAAAAATATGTTGAATGAAAATTTTGCTTCACTCTAAAATTTTATAGGTATTTTTATATAAATGTTTGACGGTGAAACAATGTTTAAGTAATTTGTTTAGAAACTTTTACAAAGCAATTTTTTGCTTACCCTGGAAAATAAGAATATCAAAGTAAGATATGTCAAAAGAAAATTCTCAATAAAAGAAGAAGTTGAACCAGATTTTTCTTTCTTTTCAGTCTACTTTTCAGTTAGTACAACTAACGAGAAACACATGGTCCTGGTTTCTAAAAGATACCGACTCACAACTGAAGTTTTGACAACATTCCACAAATCTTAAGAAAAAAAACAAGAGGGAGGGGGATGATTTACTTACTTGATACTATGACACAGCTGATTCGAAAAAACTCGAATCTTTTCTGAGATGAGAGTGTTTTCTTCAAAGGCGATAAGGACCTCTGCAGATCTCAGAGAAAAGCGAATTATTTCCAAGGTTCGCAGGGCTGAGCTAAGGGGATGGAAGATGATTATAATCGTCCTGGGGTTCAGGACTGCTGAAGGCTCGAAGTGTAATGTTCTGAATTTAAAAAAAGAAGAAGAAAAAATTGCGAAGAATTCATGCGATATAAAATATTTATATGTTCCTAAAAACTTTCTCGATATATATAAGCCACCAGCGGCTTATCCGCTTAACTGATCGAAATGAGATTTCAGATAGTGTATATTATTTCACAATTACTTAGCACAATAAAATGTAGTAATAGAAAATTAGACGACTCATTGAAAATATTTGTTAATACACTTTTAAAATATTTATTTGCTTAAAAGTTTTATTTTTTATTAAAAAAGAGCCCCATAAAATTTTTTAGCAGGTAGACGTCAATAATGCCAATTGAAAAAATAGCATTTGTGCAAATCTGTGGAGTAATACTAGCATGCACTGCATATTGTGCTACCATTTTTATTTCTGTATTTCATTTTGATGTTATTTAAAAATTGCCGTTTGCAATGATTTAATTCTATGCCATTCAGGTGTAAGAAAGATAAAGGATCAGTCTTTTTAATAAATTCCAATCATTATTAAAACAAGATAGGATAGTTAAAAATTCAAAAACATCTAAAAGATAAGAATCTGAATCCTTTAAAAAGTTTACTGAATAAATAAATCTTTTAATTATCAATATGTTAATCAGGTTCGTCTACAGCAACAAAAAAGGTTATTAACCAGGTTTTCAGTGTTGTACTTAATGGTTTCATAAATAATTTATAAATCAGTGGCAAGTTTAACAAATTATAACTCAGCACATATTTGTACACTTTATTAGTCGAAATTAATTCAGTTTTATGAAATAAAATTTTTTTTTCATTCTAATCATCTTCGGCAAGCAGCTGAATTCGTTTAATTGCGTAATTTCGATATACAGGGGGTTGCGTAAAGACCACTCTTAATATGTATTTTTAAAATCCTTATCAAAAATGAAAGCAAAGAAGTATCCACATTAGGGAGTAGAAGAATAATATTTAGTGGAATAAAACAAAAACGTCCTCAAAAACTGACCTATTACAATAAAGGACTGCAAATGTAATAAACATCAAAACAGCTTAAATTGGAGGTAGAAATTTTAAGGTGTTACAAATAATAGTTTTTCAAAACTCCTTCATTTTTTCCCGCAATCGTGTCTCGTTGTTTAATATTCCAGCCTTTCTGTATAGTGATTTGTAAGATTTTGAAAGCGTTTTCTTTTGTTTTTACTTTTGATAAGGATTCTTAAAATACACATCAAGGCGGTCTTTACGGAACAACCTGTAATCGACGTATCCCATTAATGCTTTTTCCTATCACAGAGAAACAGTGCTTAAATTCCGTATCCACCCTCTTACCTTTTGAACGGTTTCAGTTATAGTTAAAGAGATGTTTAGGTATAATTAAGAGAACCTGCTTTACAAGATTCGACAACTTACGGCCTCTTCTAATGGAAACCTGCTAAGTTAGTTTCCAGATTTCAAAAAAGGTGTGAGATAGAGGAAAAAGTTAATTACTATGTAGCAGATCATCATCAATTTAGTACAAATAGACACCTTGTGGGTATAAATACCAAGAAAAGCACGCATTTATTGGCGATTTTCTACACTGAGAACTAACAAAACGATATTCGAAATAATGACATAAACTTACCATCAAATAACATTAATTTTGATGTTGAAACTTCTAAGCTTTGTAAAACTAAGTTTTGTATAAAGATATCTTGTAATCATAACTAATTTATCCTCTTTTCTAAAAAATTTTCGTCGCGTCATATACAGTATTGGTAATTGTTCGCCGCCTAAATAGTTCTTTTATTTAAGTAATTTTGTCAACAAGGAGTCAATTTGGACTAAAGCGATGATGCACTTCCTCCTATCTCTTACCATTTTGAGAGTAACGACGTAACAGTTTTCCAACAAGTGACGCAGTATGCGGTTGCATCTTGTAGCCCATGGCCACTTTACCATACCTAGTCACCACTTTCACAATTATAACGGCAATCGTTCAAAAGTTAATAGAGTAGATACGGATTTCAGTGGGCATCCAGTATAATATATCCCGTACTTAATTTATATATGTTAAATCAAAATTGCGCATTTTTTAATTATTTTTCTTTATTTTCTTACAGATGGCCACAAAGACAAATTTCCTCATCAATCAAAACTTTACCATGCAACCCAAGAAAAAATATAGTATTTTTGAAAACACATAAATGTGCTAGTACATCAGTACAGAATATTCTAATGCGTTATGCTCATCAAAATGACTTGACTTTAGTCATTCCTATAGTTCCTAAAAGTCATTACTTTTCTTTAGTCAAACCTTTCCGAAAAGAAATGGTAGCTGGTGCACCATGGGAAATTCTTGGATACAACATTCTCTGCCACCACTTAGTATTTAATAAAGTAGCAATTGAAGCTGTAATGCCGAAAGATTCTATTTATTTATCAATCGTAAGGCATCCAGTAAGCATGTTTGAATCACTGTATGAATATGACGAATTGCAGGTAAGAACTATATAGCCATTTTTTCTCATTAAGTTATCAGTTATAAAAATTAGAAATGACAGCAGACATTAAAATTTATGACAATAGTGAAAAGTACAATATCAGGTTATATAATTAGATGCACTATTTGAGATTCAAAACACATGCTCAAATATCTTTTACAAATACAGTAGAGAACCGATTATACGGAACGATCAGGACCAACGCTATTCCGGATAACTGATTTTTACGGTTTTCTGAATCTCTACAAAAAGCCGTTTTTTTAATAGTTAAACCCAACTAAAAAAAAAAAATGGAAATAATCTTAAAAAGAAGAGAAAACGATGAAGTAATACACTAATGATTATTTCCAAAATGATGGTAAGGTAAACATCTTTCAAAAAAGAACGAAAAATCCTAAAATCTTATGAGGAAAAAAATTTTTTTTTTTTTTTTAAAAATGACGGGAAAACTAATTGAATCTCGTTCCGGTTTTTTGGTTTTCCGGTTTTCTGATTTCCGGATAACGGGTTCTGTACTGTAATATCCCAATAAGGCATTTTTATAGGGAAAGAAAATGGTATACGCGTTTTAGACATTTTTTGTCCATCGTTTTTCGTAGCAACACACAATATAAAACGGGTGATTTTTTTTTTATTTTGTAAAGTAGCAAAATTAGCTGTTAACTGAGTTTATTGCTAAAATTTAAATATAGATATTATTCCCAAACTAGTTAAACATCATAAGAAACCATGTTTCACAGGATAGGGACTAAGATTTTAAGTAGAACTCGTACGTAATAGAATTGATTAAAATCAGTTCTATTACGTATTGAGTTCTACTTGTAACGGTAGAAAAGCGGGTAAGGCTGGGTAGCTAACTCTCTATGAACTACTGAAGACAAATTATTCAAAATGGTTTACTTAAAATTGTTTCGTCGACTACATTTAGTATACTTCCCCTTACTTAAAACGTGAAGATGTCAACATTGGATGGAAGTGCCACAAAGTGAAAGAGTATTTGACCACTCATCAGATGCTATAACTAATTGTTCGCAGTACATAATTTTTTTCTCGAAGCATTGTTTATAAATTTATTATTTTGAGCTTCCATTTTAAGAGTAGATAACAAGTATTTCTAAGTACGAGTTTTTACATAATAAAAGAAAAAAAAACGAAAGATGTTACGTATAAAAAAATTTTGGTCTTATAATGAAAATAGGTGAATTTCTATGCGATAAAATCTCCATTTTTTTATCCATTACAATGATTCTATAACATACTGCTACGATTTATGTTAACAGAATATTTTTCGCAGTTGTAGCTAAGTTAATACTTCAGCATTTTGATTTAAAAAATTTTGATGCAATGATTTGATGATGTAAAAAATTTGATTTTTGATGTGAAAAAACTGTGTTATGCATGTTTGCAATTTTTGTGCATGTTTTTTTTTTATGTGATGCACATTTTTTAAAAATATTTGCTTATACTATATTTTTAATTATATTCTCATTGCAACTGGAAAAAAAAGTCATCAAATTACGTAAAAGTTGTGTTGGCGCCTATTTATTTCAAAATTTTACCTCAAATAATTTTTTCATTCACTAAAGAAAGAAAAAGGAGCTGTGTTTAAGTATCATTTTTCGAAATTTCTTTGTGGAGGAGGGGTTAAATTTGCGCAAATATGACCACACACTTCGCATCACTTGTGATTTTTTCATCTATATATATCGAATATTGAAATTAGATTTTAAGATTTATATAANAAACGTGAAGATGTACACATTGGATGGAAGTGCCACAAAGTGAAAGAGTATTTGACCACTCATCAGATGCTACAAGTGTAAACGACTCGGGCACATGCAAGGCCGGATTATCCATTAAGCACGTGCTTAGGGCACCAGAGGATAGGGGAACACCACAAAGCCTAACTAAATTGTTAGCAGTACATAATTTTTTTTTCGAAGCATTGCTTATAAATTTATTATTTTGAGCTTCCATTTTAAGAGTAGATAACAAGTATTTCTAAGTACGAGTTTTTACATAATAAAAGAAAAAAAAACGAAAGATGTTACGTATAAAAAAATTTTGGTCTTATAATGAAAATAGGTGAATTTCTATGCGATAAAATCTCTATTTTTTTTATCCATTACAATGATTCTATAACATACTGCTACGATTTATGTTTACTGTGTTATGCATGTTTGCAGTTTTTGTGCATGTTTTTGTTTTTATGTGATGCACATTTTTTAAAAATATTTGCTTATATACTATATTTTTAATTATATTCTCATTGCAACTGGAAAAAAAAGTCATCAAATTACGTAAAAGTTGTGTTGGCGCCTATTTATTTCAAAATTGTACCTCAAATAATTTTTTCATTCACTAAAGAAAGAAAAAGAAGCTGTGTTTAAGTATCATTTTTCGAAATTTCTTTGTGGAGGAGAGTTTAAATTTGCGCAAATATGACCACAAACTTCGCATCACTTATGATTTTTTCATCTATATATATCGAATTGTGAAATTAGATTTTAAGATTTATATAAAATGCATGCTATGTAATATGAATGCAAGCTAGTATTTTAATAAGGAAAGAATTACAGGTTTCTTAGTCCTTAGAGTCTTGTATAAATACAAATGTTATAAAAGTTGTGCACAAAAGATGTGTAAATTCACAATGTGAACCGGATGTTCGTAGACGGTGAAAAATATGTTAAAAAGAGTACTCATTAAAACTAATTTAATTTTAAAATCAAATGTAGGAAATAAGTAGCAATAAAATAAAATTTTCAATTGAATTGGGTTTAGTGCAAGTAAACTATATTTTGTACATCTTATAACGAAATTTGTAAAAATTATAATTAGGAAATAAGAAAAGTACTGAAAATTTCAAATTAAAAATAAATGGCAAATTTAAGAAAGATAGTTTTAATAATTGAATTTAAAAATATGTTTAATAACTAATAAAGAAAATCCTTAATGATAATGATTTAAGCTTGAGCCAATCAAAATTATTATTGAAATATTATTTCTGTCACTAAAAATAAATTTAGTAGTTGTGCTTAATTTTTACTTGTAGCTCGTGTGTACATCGGATTGAAATAAATAAATAATTAATTAAGGTATTTCCATTGTCCATGAAACTTCTTTAAAAAGAAATTGGTCATTCTTCATAAACGAGTGGGAAAAATATTGTTGTTCCTGTTATTTTATTATAAGCACAAGACTACTGAGAAACGTGGTCCAATTTAACTTGATTTTGCTTTCTGTGTGTAACAAACAATCCAGCGGAAAAACAACAAAAGAGTTATATTGCCAGCATTCGATTTCATGAATTCGAAGACTCCGGAAAAGGACCACCGTGATTGTCACCAACATATGGGTTGAAATACAAAGCTAAATTTTCTGAGAACTACTTAAAGGACAAGACAAGTGTAACCCAATTTATTTACTACAGACAGAGAGCATCCTTTCATCTCAGATATCTATAAGCATCCTATAGGCGACTCATCCCCCTTTCTTTTTTTTAGAGAAAAGATCCATATCTCAGAAAATTCAATTCATTCCCCTCCGAGGGGGGGGGGTGCTCATCAATTGAGCGAAATCATGCATTTCGCCAGGTCTCGAGAACTTTTTAAACGAATCGAAAAGTTTTTGCACCTAATAATAAAATTCATTTACCTATAAATAATTCCTTGTCAAAAATAGTTTTTTTTAATAATACAAAATATACAAATTTTTATATAATTTTAAAGAATATCAATTTAAATGGTAAAATACAAAATTTGAACGAAATCTGTTGAATAGTTCTGGAGAAATTAAATGCCAAATATATAACTTTTCTTAAAATTGAATAATTCAAATGTATTTGACTGATTTAGTACACATTAAATTTTGTATTTTGTCATTAAAAATGACATTTGTTAAATTTTCAATTTAAAGTTTTTTCCGACTATTCTCTTAATAAAATAATATAAAATAATTAATACTTCAAGGAAATATTTTTAGGTAAATGAATTTTATTATTGCGTGCTAAAATTGTTTAGTTCGTTTAAAAAATTCTCGAGATATGGCTATTTATTTCGAGAGTCAAGAATTCGAACAGATTGAAAAAAATGTATGCGTTTTTTTAGAAAAAGTATGTGTCTGTTTTTCTAATTTCAAGTATTTTGAGTCTTAGTATATAAAATTTCAAAGTTCTGATCATAAGTTATTCATTGTGTTTGCTTTTTTGCACATTGTACTTATACACATACAAAAGTTACTTTTTTTTTAATATTAATTGAAAAGTTTTCAATTGATTATATTATTTTAATTATTTTGTTTTAATTAGAATAAATATTTTCTTTTAAAAAAGTTTTGATTTTATATTTTGAATTAACATGTGACTTAGTAGTGGATATATTTTTAATTGTTAGAGGGGGGCACCAAAATATTTTCAGTGCTTAGGGCCTCAAGAGGTCTTAATCCGGCCCAGAATCTCATACATGTAGGTAAGTAAAATTTTGAAAACAAAAGCTATTCAGTAGAAAAAGCAATAATTTTTTTAGGTTTGTGAAATAAAAATATCAAACTAAATCGTTATTTAAATTACACAAAGAAAAATAACTGCATCATAATTTATTTTGCTTAATGGCACAACACACACTAATTTTATATATGTACAAAATGGATTATAGAGATAAAAAAAAAAGACACATAAGCAGAAGTGACTAAGTTTTCTATATAATAAAGACTTAAACACATAAGTATAAAAATAATTTAATAATAGAAATATCTTCTACATCAAACACTGAGATCATGACAAATTATGTTGTAAGATAAAAAAGATTTAATAGACAGATTTAAAATGTGTATTTATAAAGATTTTAAATAATGTACAGCATTTAATGTGACCATATTAGTCAGATTAATATATTAGAAAATCTCCATTTAAGTATTTTAAAAATTATTGCGAAATTTCAACCCTTTTGAAAGATTAAGAGCTTACCTTATAATCAAATAAATTTAATAATGCATAAAAATTGAAGTACAATTTTAAATTTTTAAATAAAGCTAAGCAGATATATATAAAACTTATTATAATATAATTTTAAAACAGCATGTCAATTTTATTTTTACAGGATTTTTATCACATGGATATTGAAGAATATGCCAGAGGAACCAAAAATGAATCTATTATAGCAACATTGAAGAAGCGTTCAAATGGCATGGGAAGAAATCAAATGTTGTTTGATTTTGGCCTATCACCTTACTTTTTTAATAATCGCTCAGTAGTAGAGAAAACAATACAAAAAATTGACCAAATTTTTGACTTCGTAATGATTGCAGAACACTTTGATGAATCAGTTATTCTTTTACGCCACATTTTGTGCTGGGATTTAGATGACATAGTCAGCCTTACAATAAACGCTCGCTTAGGGAATTTCAGGAAGAGTTTATCTAAAGAAGCAACTAAGAACTTAGAAGAATGGAATTGGGCTGATAAAATGCTATATGATCATTTTCTAAAAAGGTTTCAAGCAACAGTTAAAGAATTTGGCCCAGAACAATTAAAGTTAGAAGTCCAAGAATTGCAAAGGCGGCGCAATGAATGGTTTGAATACTGTGTTCAAAAGAAAGTTTTAGCTAAAAATCTAACTTCATACAATGTATGGAGTAACAAAGTGGCAGGATATGTTTTAAAATCTAACAACCATAATCAAACATGTGAAGACTTAGTTAAACCTGAAAAATACTTCACTTCAGAAATAAGGCAACATCAACTTATACATAGCATTTTAAAAGGAGCTACTCTGCCAAATTATGGTCCCACCTCTTTGAAACGTATCTTAGATCTAAAATTTTTAAAAGATAAAGAGCTCCTTATAGCTAGAAATTTATTAATGAACCAATTCAAATATCGAAGAAAATATGCACGGAAGATTTAAAGCTAAATTAATGAAGAATTTATTATGTCTCTATATTTTAATAAAATATTACTATGAAATATTTTATAACTTGATGTTAAAATTATATTACTGTCAATACCTTGAGATAACATTTTATTTTAAAGAATATAGGTAACTATTTTTAGTAATACATTTAAAAAATAAAGCTTTTAAAGATTAAATCACTCACAAAAGTATAATTACATTTATGCCTATTTTTCATAAATTAAAACAGTATCTAACCCTAATTACATGCATAATAACTAAGATTAAAAAAATATATAACAGGTAGACATCAACATTATAAATAACAAAAACACTTCAGTTTAAAAGTATATTTTTTACACAATATAATATACAGGAACTAAACATCACAAAAATTTAAAACTTTTCTATACAAAAAAAAAAAGTTACATTACATATGATTTTAACTGAGAATTTACGATAAAACAAATTAATTACAAAGTGTGATAATTTCTTTCAGTTCTGGCTTTATAAAATTTAAAGCTTATATAAATAATAGCCAAAAGTCCTAGAGCCAAAACAATGCCTCCTATAAAACTAGGGGCATCAAAATGACGACCTGGTGGAATAACTGTAGTTCTGGTTGGCACAGTAGGAACAGAAGATGATGAAGTTACTGACGTCGTAGATGCCACAGTGGTGGTGGTAATTATTTTTGTTGTAGTTGTGGGACTGACAGAAGTTACATTAGTAGGTGCAAGAGAGCCTTTAAAAAAGTATCATATTCAAAGTAAATAACGATTATTTTATACATAAATGAGACTATTTTGATAATAAAGATTATATTTAAATTTCTAACATGATTAATTTTAATCTACACAACAGTTCTTAAAAGAAAGAGGAAACTGCACTATATTAACGTAAAAAATTTCTATAAAATTCTTAACAAAATTGTATTCAAATATGGATGGTTGACCGTTTAAAGCTAAGCACAGATGGCGCTAGAGGTTAAAATTCAGCATAAGACTTCTGGGTTACTACTTAGATTGATCTTGATGCCAAAGACTGAAAAAGGGTGCCATCCAATAATATTATATTAGTGTTTGTAATGTAACGTGTTCTTTCAATTCAAATTTTAATGAAACAGACACCAGTTAAATTAGGGAGACTCCGCAAGCACACTATCCAAAAAATAACAAATGGCGATACTATAAACAAATATAGCCAAATAAGAGATAACACGCTAATCATGGCAAACCTTACACTTTATTTATGTTGTGATATTAATAATCTTAAATTTGTTTTAAGCTCAAGATCTGTTAGAATTTATTAATTACTGAAAACTTTTAAGAGCAATAAAATTATGGGTAAACTAAAACACTAATTATAATTTTAAAAAAATTCCAAGAATATTACGTCAGTTCAGACATCACCTTGTAAGCATAACATAAGCGGAAGGATACACAGGAAATTTTCTAAATTTATTCCGGTATTAGGAAGCTTGTTATTGTTTACATTTAGTCAACACACACTATACATGCAAGTCTTGAAATAATTTAAAATGTGAAGTAAAAACACCCAAACAGTTAAAAGTAAATTAACATTTTGAAAAGTAATATACAGTTGGAATCTCTGTCTAACAATTTTGAAGGGGACTTATTTGTCTTGTGTCCTTAAACAGAATTTGTGTAAAGAAAAAAAAACTTACAAAATTTTTCTTACACTTTTACATGCTTACAACTGACTAATTATTGTGTAATAAACTAGATTTCCTATTAATGTATAAATTACATTAATAGAAAAATAAAATAGAAGAAAAATAAAGTAAATTTGCTGATTACTCCACTTGTGGTTTCATTTTAAAACTTATTCTTCCAGTTTTTTTGAGCATTTTAAAGGAGCCATCTTTAAAATTAAATGTGATTTATTTTACATTTTAAATTACCAATAGCCAACCATCTGCATAAAAGGAAATGGTGTTTCATTTATTACTTCATTACTTCTTTTTCATCATTATTATTTATATTCTCTTTATAAATTTAATCTTTTAAATCAGTTATTAAAATATCCTCCTCACAGCTGAAGAAACCAGGGATTTCATACCTTTTTAGTTGTGCAGACCACCAATTTTATGAAAAAAATGTATATTTACTAGTTAGTGGGTCTCTCAAGTAAAAAATATGACATACTGACACACAAATTTATATAAATATACGTATATTTTTATATGCATATGACAAATCACATGGAAAAAATATTAAGGATCAAAGAACTTCTATCCAATATCTGACTTTAATATAGATAAATATAATGCACACATATGTCAGTGTTAGTTTGTCTTCTCGAATAGTAACATGTAGGAGAGGAATTAAAATATTAATTTTATAAAGAAAATAACTTTATTGCATTCACTTAGAGGTCAGAACTGTAAGGAAACTAAAAAACAAGTAATAAAGTTAAAAAACTTAATGGAATTTTTGACACTGTTTGTCCACCATGAGAAAATTAATATGTTATTCCGTATTGAAACTCCACAGTTTAGCCACAAATCATTCTTAACATTCAATTTTTAGGATTTATCTAATATAAGCATAGGATTTATCTTTCTTAAAATTCAAAAAGCTTTCGTCTCATAGTACAGCAAGATAGTAGGCTCTTCCATAGCCCAGTTTAGTTGCCTGTGGCCCACAATTTTGGAACTTCTGTTCTAAACGATTAACTTTCTAGTCTTTCTTAACCTCATTACAACCAAACTTGTATCCCCTGACAGAAAATTTTCTTGTTGATGTAAAAAGTTTTAAAAAAATGTAAGAGTTAAAAAATTACACCTTAAACAGAAAGAGATACAACCCTCCTTAAACAGGTTTTTTTTTTTTACAGTAAGGGAAATAGTCTGTCCTTAAGAAGAGTGCTGTTAAACAGAGATGCAACTACTAAATTATATAACCTTAATTAGAAAATAACAAATACAATGGGTAGCCATACTAGCCTTTAAAAATAATAAATTTAGTTCTTTTTAAAAAAAGCTTTTTATTAGAAAATTGAAAAATAAAAACACAGATTTCTTTTTGAGTAAAAATGTCAATTGTAAATGAAGAAAGTCATTACTAGCATTAAAGATAGATAACATTTAACGTTGTTACAAATAATTCTGAATAACGTATCCAGGATAGCCATCCAGGTAAAAACCAAAAACTTGTTCAAACTCTTAAAAAAATTGTTTTAAACTATATAAACTATGGGGAAAGTTGGATTTAAAATATTTACATTCACATCCATGACATGAAAGAAAATTATAATAAATTTCCTATTCAACAGATTCAATTCCTACAACTATTTCATTTGACTGCTGTAATGTTGCAAATATCAACACTATAACAAAGCTTCTTAAAATATTCTCTTTTGAACGGAAAATGATCAGTTTTATTACCTGTCAGAAAGGAAAATAAATTTGCTGTTCACATTAAAAGTAAAATTTTTTCCAAAGGCATTGAAATTTGAGTTCACCTTAAAAGATATTTCACATTAAAAATACTTTAAAGTATTACATCCATATACAATTTGACGGGGAATTGAAAATTAGTTCACATCAAAAAAAATTCATGTTAAGCGTGAGGTTCAAATGTATTTGCTAATATGTTAATATTAATACATAATTGATAATAAATATATTAAACTAGAAATTATAGTTTTAAGCAGACAAATTTTCACTTTATTGCCTTTTAACTTTTTTTTTCATATTGGAGAGCTTTCCTCTTCTCAAGGCATTTTGAAATAGACTCCTTGAAATTATTACAGAAAGCAATTATTATTTTAGTTTTCATATTTCAAATGAAAGATGACTCATAAATAAAAGCATAAACTTTTATTTCAGGAAATAGCAAAAGATTCTAAGCAATCTGCAATTCTTGTAAAAAAAATTTAATTACTACTCATTGTTTTTTTTTATTTCTGTTACAGATTATTAATGCAATTTTCTAACAATACAGCTTCTAGCAGATCTTTTGTTGGCATACAGTAGTCAATATTTCAAGTATATTAATTAATGTATTAAAAGGAATTTTTTTGCATCACATTTTTGTTTCAACTTAGCTTAATTTGTACAAGAAAAGTAATAATAATATTCAATAATTATTACATTTATGTGCTATTAAAGATATGAATAATAATATTTATACCAACACATAAATGCAATGATATAGGAAGATATAAAAAAATTTTTAGACTCCCTTTAACAACTTTGCAATGGTATAAGCAGTGACACACTGTAGTTTCTGCATATCAGATAACAAATAAAATAAAAAAATAGCATGCCATTGGTGTGCACGTAAATGTCTCACACAATATTTCAGACAAATAATGAAAATTTTCATGAATCTTCCTTGATTTAAATTTAGTGAAGTTAAATACAAGTTAAAAAATATATAAAAAAAGATGTTTAATGGATGTGAGAAAAATTTAGAATTTTTTTTATGGGAAATTTAGAGAACTATTCTAGCTATGTACTTTAATTTTAACCCCCTCAAAAACTGGTCAGCTGTGACACTCATATGAATTGTATTAAATCAAAACCAGTGATCACTAAGAAATGCAAAATACAATGTAAAATTAACATATACTGTCGAAATCATTATATAGTTTTGCCCAGCGCTGCAGTTGTGGGGGGGACATCATTCCCCGAAATATTTGGTTTCCTGTAGTAAAAAATAAATAAATGTTTGAAAAAATTTCAGACCAATTATTTCTCTTTTCATTTTTATTTTTTTTTTATTTAGTCGTTTATTATTTTTTTTAGGAAGTGAAATAAAATTTCACTTGGTTCTGGGTAAAAAAAATTTTTTTACTCTGATAGAAGTGCTAATTTTACTAATCAGATTTGAAAGTGCAAGTGATCTTTCAAATCTGATTATTAAAATTTTTATGCTCCACTGTAAACTGGCACAATGAGAATAGTCATGTTAAAAAAATATAATTTCAAAAATGATAATAGTGCTTAAAAATTTTTAAGTAGTTTAAAAGTTAAGTAACCAAAGTAAATATTTACATTGCATCTACCAACATTTAATGAGAATAAAATCTTTATATAAAGTTGCTGTTAATTAATTTCATGAGGTTTGTAAAACTTTAAATATTAAATGTGATTTTTTTTCTTCTTAAATCTAACTCTGTTCCAACTCTTTTTTTACATATTTTATAATCTGGTAAGCAAAAAAACCAAGATAAGAGCAAATAATTATGTTCAAGCAAGAAAAAAAAGAGGGGTTCATTTAGTTCACCCACTCTTTATTAGAATAAAGACACTTTTGAAGTATGTAACATAAGTTATTACAAATGTGAAGTTCTCTTACTGTTATACTCTAACAAAACAAATCTGTATCCCTTTTTGCGTACATGCATATATATATTTTTTATCTTCTTCATATCAAAGCAATATGTTTAGTAAAATAGGTACATAATGCTTTTTAAGTGCTAATGAAGAATTGTGTACTCAGTCAGTTACATTTAATTGAAATTTAGATATTTTATTACATTATGTAATTATTTTATATCAATAAGCTTTTATGATGAATACACCAAAGATAAAAATTATGCTAGTTGGCAGTAAACCCCCTTTTTTAAAAAAATAGAAGTCTGCTTTTCTTAATGATAACTAGCAGAGTAATTTAAATTGGTCGTTTTCGGCCTATCAAAGCTCAGTCAACTATGACATATACCCTATAAAAAGGTGAGTTCCCCCAAATATTTTTTTTCCAACTACAGCTTTGGTTTTGCCCAGTAATCAATTAATTTGAATAAACATTCCATTAAATTGATTTGTCCCATTATGTGAGTGGCAATTTAAAGCCACCCAATAACTTATCACATAATTTCCTTTTTATGTTGCCCTGATTAACAAATTTCCTTTTTTAATGTTAGAATTATGATAAAACTAAAATGAACAAATTTTGAAACTAAAAAATGTGATGCAAAATGTTCAGGTTTCTTCAAAATACCTTTATTTAAAACCTATGCTTGTAATTTTTTCAACTGAAAAGGGCAAACATGGTTTTGAACTTTTACAAGTTAGGTTACAAATGAAAACTTTAAAAGAACTAAATATTTTTGCAAAATTTTTAAGCATTTTATTAAAAAAAAAAAAAAAAGAAAACTTACAGTTACTTGAGTTGTATATTATATCTTCTGCTTTACAATCTTCAGTTTTATTTTTCGCATAACAGCATTTATTGCCTGTCAAATAAATAACATTTCAAAACAAAAGAAAAATTACACTTAAAACATTCAATTCCTTAGCATAAATTGAGTTTTTTTTAAACAAAATCTTAGAATCCATTGAACTTACTAATTAACTATGCAGTATTGTAATAAGTCATTTTAAATAAGAAAAAAAAATTTTTTTCATAAGTTTATCTATATTATTCTTTATTTAGATTTTTAGTAAAATCCAATAGCTTCAATAATAGATTAATTTTATAAAAACAACACTTTCATGAAAATTAACTATGAACTATGAAAATTAAGTATTGTCACACATTTTAGAAAATTCATTTTACAAATTATACTTTTTTTCCAAAGTTTATAAAGATTGTTGATAATAAATATGCAAGATTATCATCAACAGAATTCAGTTAACACTGGGTCCAATATTTGATTTTCCCTTTTAAATCATAACATATAGTATTAATTCAAAATATTCTTATCTTATTACTTTTCAAAAAAAAAATTGTCTTTAAATTACAAAGATAATTTAAAATAACATTAACATTAAAGATAATTTGAAATAACATAAAAAATTGCATTTAAAAAAATGAAAAGCTGACAGTTGGATTGCTTAGCAAAAATCTAGTGTGTCCATTATCAGGGTTGGGATTTAATCTCTAAGAAACTTATTTTTCCAGGAGGAATAAACCAGAAGAAATTTGATGAAATGAAAGAAAGTAAAAATTACTAAATAATGCAATTTCTTTAAATTTAATGTTTTAAAAGGAAGAAAGAAATTACATTTGTTTTACAATTAACTATTTTCTTACTATACATTTCAGTTTTATATAGAATTTTAAAATCTTTATAACCTATAACAATTAGTTTAGAATTTGAATTTATGTTATCCTAATTTTCTTAAAAAAATATGGACACTTATATCTGGATAAATTATGTATGCTTGCTTAATTTTAAATTTACTGAATATTCTATTTAAGATGGAATTATAACTTAGTAAAATAATACATATTAATTGAAAATGCATATAAATACAATATTATGTTTTTATTTAACATTTTTTTCAATTGGATAAATTTTCATTGCAATTTTTTATCAATATAATTTCAGATAAATAATTCTGAAAAACAATATAATTGAAATTTCAGACACTAATTTTGTTTTTAATTAATTCTTTTAAAAAATCACGATATTCATCTTTATTTTAAAGCCCGATATTATTTCACAACAGAACAAGAACTCATTTTTTCCCCTAAAGTTATAATGTTAGTAAATTCTAATCAAAACGATATAAAGTTAACATAATGTGAAGAAAAAAACTTTCCTATAACCTGTTACACCCTTGAAAATGTAAAAGTTTTGATTTTTAAAATCAATAATACGATTTAAATGAAATTATATCTTAAAATACTCATGAATTATTCAAGATTTTTAGTTCATGTTTTAGAAACCTTATATCATTAATCATTTATCTGAAAATAAAAATTCATTAATTTACAAATAAAATATTAGTAAAAATTCGTAAGTTTATTATATAAATCATAATTAACTTACTTGTTATAAGTATGTGGTTATAGGTATTTGGACTTTAACACTGTGGAATTTTTAAGCATTCATGCTTAACAGCACTTGTTTATGAAAATTAGTATGCTACTAATAATTGTGAATAGCATGCATGTGATTTATAGTATAATACAATATATAATGTGATTACTATATTTTAAAAGTTCTTTGCATTGCTAATTAAAAATTTTACTAATCCATCTTCCTCATGTAAAACATTTAAAGATACTAAAGGTGCAATAAATTCTAAAAACCATTTAACAAATTAATTAAACTAGATCACAATAATAAAATATTAAAAAATTCCTTTAATAATTATTTAATATTTCCTTTTTAAAAATATTTGGTTTTACTTCTATTTCTATAGGGACAGTTTTTTTCACTGTAAAAGAAACTTTTCATCCTTGATTGTGAAATTATTGCAACAAGTAAAGAATAAAATAATAATGAAATAGCAATAATAAACAAATTGTTACACTTACAAAACAACTGAAAAACTTTATAGCAAAGAATTATTGGTGGAAAAAGGTATATCTTAAAGAAAAGCACATGAATTCTTGCTTGCTAATCGAGCTGAAGTTTTTTGCACAGACAAATTTAAAGACTATTAGATTTTTAAAAAAAATTCTGATATTTTTAAACAATTATGAGGTTATAGAATATTTATTATTCTAAACACATACACATCACACCAACTATAGCCAAGCACCAAGCCCCATCTTTAGTGCTTCATCTTTTAACAGCCATGGTAGGAAAGCCACATAATTTTGACAACTTCCCTCTCTCCGAACTTCCACACCCCAGCCAACAAGAAGACTTTCAACCAAAAAGATTTAACGTGCACCTTACTGCATATACCCGCAGATTGTTTAGGATCAAACTCACTACCTCCAGCACTCCAACTAACTATGCGAGTGACTCCTTAACTGACAGTGCTACCTGAGCACCTTTATAATTTTAAACAACAATTTTCAACACTAATATGCTGTCTAATTTTGCATTAGTAGGGAATATAAGAACAGAAGCTGTAAGAGGCGACTTTAAATCCATGTTATAGTAGTTGAATTCACTTTTTTAAAAACTTAAATACATTATGTTGGCCATCAAAAGAAAAAAAAAATTTTTTTGGGTTTGCTTTTATGGAGTTTTGCTAATGACTGGTTTAAATTAACCAACACAATAGTTTAGCCAACAATCCTATTTAATTTCATCTTTTATATTATAAATGTATAAATTTTAGTTATATCTTGCAAAGGAAATTTCAGTTGACTTATGTTATTCTATGCTTTATGCACAAATCTCATTTCTAAAAGTACACAACCAAGATCATTTTAGTGATGATTCTGGATTTATTTAGCAGGACACATTATGCAGCTAGGTTCAAGACAACATTCCCATGGTCAGAAACTCAAAGAGTTTACATGGGTTAAAATTCATATATACACACATATATAAACATGATAGTACAATATGCTAAGAATATTCTAACTAAAATCTTAGTCTATCGGAATAATACTCTGGGAGAGAACTTTTGAAGACTCTTCTTATTGGACTAAACTGTTCTTTGATCATAAATAGAAAAGAAAGAAAAATTCCTCATAACTATATTTAAAATTACTGAACATAAGTTCTCAAAAACTAAATGTATCAAACTTAATGCAATTTTACAACTTCATTTTTTCTTGGGTAGAATGTACTAGTTATTAAATTAAGGATTTTTTTTTCTTTGATCACAATTTATTTTAATGGCAATACAGTTTAGATTTTCAAAAAAGTGTACTTCTTTGCAATACAATTCTGCCAAAGATTCTTTAAAAAAAAAAAAAAAATCTTTTGTTCAAGCTATATTGAACTATCAGAAAATATTTGATTTCTTGGTTTCATATAAACAGTTATGAGCCATAATTTCTGAACACATGCAGTTATTTTAAAGGGCTTTATGAAAGCCAGTTCTCAACAGCTAAATTTTCAAATATTGTGTGTGTATCTTTTTGGAAATATAAAATTCCTTAAATCCTTTTATCCTATAGTAAAAGATTGTGGAAGGAAAATAATTTTGATGATTAAAACATTTAGGGTAACTTTCTTTAATGTAACATTGATATCTAGTCAATATAGCATCTTGAAGTTTTACCCTTAGCAGAGTATTCATATTTTCCAAATATTATAACAAATTATCTTTAAAGAACTATAATAAAAATTCATTTCAAGAGTACTGAAACAAATATATTATATCAAAATGTGTTATATTTATGGATTGACATTGGACATTATTAAAAGTGTATAACACTACACAAAAAATGCATATTTTGAAGGAGAGAAAGCATCTACAGTATATTATAGATTATAAAAATATAGTCATTTTTAAGTTAAAAAAATAAAGCAACAGTAAATTTAAAAATATTGAAGTTAATAAAAGAACATCCACACAAATTAAAAATAGCAATAGATGATAAAACAAGAAAATGAACATTCTCTTAGCAATAAATACTTACTTAAACAATATACAGCAGCTTTATTATCTACACAGTCATTACAAGTCTCATTACTACAAGTTGTTTCACCTAAGAAAATATTTAACATTATTAAAAAAACAATAATAATAAAATAGTGGATTTGAAAACAAAAAATTAACTGCATTTATTTTATACTTTTGAACCACCTAATTATAAATAAAATGAAGCAAATGAAATTGTGAAATAAAAAATATAAACTTAAAACTATAACATAAAGTGATAGTTCAACCTAACTAAGAAATATTCTGTTTTTTTCTTTTGTAAATTTAAGCTTGAGTTAATATTGTATTAATTCTCTAATGATGTGAATGAGTTAATTCAAACAAGATTTGTAAAAAAATCAGACTTAAAATTACTTTGTTGCGACTCCCACTGTTAAATCTTTTGAAATAGAAAATATCTAGATCAAAAGTTACTAAATATGAAAATATTATATTTGGGAGTTTTACACACACATAAAAGTCAGAAAAAAAGGAATCACAGTATTCGTAATCTTAAAAAATACGTATTTCATTAATACTCTATAAAATGTTACGATGTGTAATAAAATTTAAATATTTAAGATATTACGATAAGTTTTTAATGTATTGCGAACTGACATAAACCTGGAATATCTATGAAATTTGATCATTCAATTTATTCCTTGACATCAAATAAGATATTAATCTGAGGGTAGATCTTAAATACTTTTTAAATACAAAGAAGATACTTTTATTTTATATCGTTGTTTTTTCAGCTTTATTTAGTAAAATAAAGTAATTTATTAGGATTAGAAGTAGGAGATTTACTTAATATACAATCGTTTCTAAAAGATCTTATAATTGCTTCCTTTGTTGTTTCATCAATGTGATTAATGTAGACAATTGTTGAGAGCTAGAACTAATTTGGATAATGTTTAACTGACTTTTAACTCTGCCTAAAGCTTGATTATTTCTAAATGCTATAACAGGAATACTAATATCGAAATTTTTTTTCCCTTCTGTTTTAGACGGTATTTTTCATGATTTACTGGCACTATCAATGTAATAGTATTACTTTGATTTTAAATGTTTCTTTTTTTATGGGTAACGATATTCAGAATTGTGTTTTAAATAATTTACATCTAAAAAATTTTTTACATTTTAGATCTTTTCAAAATTTGAATATTTATCTCTTATAAACTTGAAATTTCTACTATTTATTCTTCTCTTTTATTAATACTCTGCTAGACTTGAAAAATTTTCTTGGAAACTTAAGCAGACCATACAACAAAGTTCAACATTTATATTAAGAATAGCGTTTAAATTAAGAATTCATCGGGAAAAAAAGGTACGCTTATTCAGAGAAAGTATGTTTTTACATTTGATTTCGTAACTTAAAATATCGCCTGCACTAAGTAATTAGCATATTAGGTCACTCCTAGAACCTTAAAGATTTAGTCCTAGGATGTGAAGATCCGATCATTAAATCAAAAGTTATCCACGGTGGTTCCTTTTTTTTTTTTCTTTGGTGCACTGTTCAATTTTTTAATTTGTATTAGAACTATATAACAAATGTAATTATTTAAATTTGCATAAATGTAATTTTTAAAAGAGTACTAAACAATAATTAACACCATAAAATAAAGCATTGATATACTATATTTTATTTAAAAACAAAAGTTCAATAAACAAAATTAGAGAGAAAAAAAAATGAAATATTTTATATTTTTCAAATTTTCTGCTCAAAGAACAGTTTTTCTAATAAAAATATTATTCAATAAAATAACATATTTTGTTGTAATAAATTTGTTTATAATGATACCATGAAAACCACATCAAAAGGGAAAATAAATGCAATACTGCCTTTAAGAGTCTGCCTTAATAAAATTGTGAAGCTTTAACTTCTATGGAAATCCTAACATACAACAAGATATTACATGTATTTTATTTTTTCTTTTTGATTCAAATAAACTCTCGAAGAAAACAGTTCCAAGAAATGCTTAAAACAATAACTGATATTTAAGACATATTATTTATTACGTTAGGAACTTTAAGAAAAACTTTTACTCACTCAATACAGTGTAGTAAATAAAACACTTTTAAAGGAGAAACTGATATTAATAAATATAAATGAAAAACAGCCAAACACTCATTTAAAAACATTCCAAATGTACATTTGTAAAGTTAAGTAATTAATTTATTATTCCATCATCAAATGTGCTAAACAGAGCATTAAAAAGTTAACCCAAAAAGCTTGAATCATTTAAAAAGAAGTTTCTTTTTAAAACTTTTCATGCCAAGAAAAACATTTATTTATTAATTATTTTATAAGAAATCTAAATAATCCAATATTTTGATTTAAAAAAATGGTATCATCTTTTCGAATTACTATTTAATAATAAAAACACATCAATATAGTTTTGGTAATAAATTATCACACCGTGTCATATTTCAAAGATCATTTTAACCAAATTGATAAACACAAAAAGATTTGAATAAAAAAAATGCAAGAATTTAAAATTATTTAATATTTCAAATGTATCAGTACTTATGCCATGTTAAACATGGCATGCTCTAAAAAGAAATTCATGATTCGCAAGAACTGCAAGATACGAGGGGGATTCATACAATAGAGAAGATTTCTGAATTGTGATTTGTGTCAGAACAATCGTCAAGCATTGGCAACTATAAAAGTTAAAACAGAAATACTGTAAATTTCTGGGCAGCAGCCCATGCAAAGCTTTAAAAAAAAATCTCACAATGAGACTAACTCAAAAAGCTACAACTGCTAGCTACCCCCTACAAGTTTCTAGCAAAAATAATTAATGAAAATAATACAAGTTTAAAATCAATTTGGTGCCTCAGGGATTATAGTTGGCATACTAAACTACAAAATGGAAATATCACTCTTTGGAAAAGTAAAAAAGTGAGAGCGAAATGAAGAGATTTCCATATCGTGATCAGTGGCAGAATAATCGCCAAATCTTGGCAACTTCCTGACAGCAGCCCGGGAGAAACTAAAAAAAAATGCATAAAGGAACTAACTTGAAAGGTATAACTCGTAACCACCCCCAGGCAAACATCTACATATTTTTTTCTAGAAAAACAAATTGCAAGCTTAAAATCTATTTGGCACCTTGGCGATTGTAGTAGCCACAACAAATGACGATACGGAAATATCCCCAGTAAAATTATAAATAAAATAACTAACATTTCCTGATTTGTATTGTTTAATAACTAAATAACATCACACAAACTAAAATTTATGCTAAAATGCATGTTTTTTAAATTAATTGTGGTAAATATATGTGTTTGTTTGCTCTAAGAGATTAAGAAAGCTGCAAAATTTGTACCGTTTTGTTTTCTTTTCTTAAAAGCAATATGAACCCTGCACAAACATAAATTAATACATACTTTTTTTCCAGTGATTTTATAATTCTGATTATTATGAATGACCGTTCTTCAAAACAGAAGCATAAACCTTTGTAATATAACGGTTATCTCACAAAAAAAATTGAAAAATGCAAATAACAGTACTAGTGTTTAAAAAAAAAATAAAAAAACTCCAGAAATTCATCAGATTTTTCATAATTAAGTGCAACAAAAAATATGTTCCCAATTAATAGGAAATCTTTAAACATTAAGTAGATTTCATGAATATTTCAATCATCATACAACAATAAAATATATCCAAATATATATAAAATAATGGATTGCGTATCGCGATATATGTATAAGATAGGACACAGACAAAAACAAAACAACCAAATTTAGATAAAATAAAACGTACCAGCAACTATACTTATCGAACAAAGGCCAAGCCAAAACAGTAATGAAATTCGAGAAGGAAATGAAATCATTTTCATATTTAATACTTTTTCTCAGACAAGAATTTGAAAATGAAATCCCATCGCATTATTTACATTCGATAACCACTTTTGTTTTCGTTTCAGGCTTTTCCCCCCTTATGTCATTTAAAATGGATGCATTGCCAAACACAGATATACTAATTTTAATATTGAATGCTATAAACAAACCAAAGTTAAATGCTACTTTAAAGAGCATTTTCACTGCATGCAATTGCCGCATCTCTGATCAACGTTAAGGGAAAAAGAGAATCTGATTGGTGAGTGTCACACGAGAAAAATGCAGGGGTGGATCCAGAAATTATTCCTGGGGGTGGGGGGGTCATAGACTCATCCCCCCCCCGCAATTAATTATTTTTATTAAGAAAATTTTTTTTTAAATATTTAAAAAAAAAAAGAAACTGGGGTTTTTAATGCTAGTCTTCTCATTTATTTTTTTCATAATGAACGGTAGAACAATACTTAAATAATTCAAGTATTCAACATCTTTAAATAATAAATATGATGCGTTTTTTAGAAATTTTGGCAAATCTTAGCCTTGGCGTTGGTAAAAAAAAAATCGATTTTCCCGACCTACCAAGGTATATATGACCCTTAAATAATTTTTAAAATATTTTATTTCTTTTATAAATTATTAAAAAATTATTATTTTTATTTTATTTTTTCAATTTGGGGGGGGGGGTCATGACCCCTATGACTATGGATCCGCCACTGGAAAAATGTTTCACCAATCAGGTTCTCATCTTCATTCGAGGGTGATCGGAGATGCCTGAACCACATGCAGTGAGATACATTGTTCAAGTTTATTGATATTATCTTTTATTCGATAGATAGTCACGCAGCGGACTGATCGTAAAGACACGGTTCCCAGTAGAACACAGAAGTCGTCCCGCAGTGGACTGATCGTTAAGACATGGTTCCCAGCAGATCACCGAAGTCAAGCATCACTGGCTGCGGTCAGTGTGCAGGGTGGGTGACCACTTAGATCAGTCTGTATAGGGACCGAGGAGGTGCGGTATTGGTCCTCGTTAAACTGTGCTACCGTAAAGTGCTCGACTTCGCGTGTAGGTTGTCGGGCTACCAAAGCGAGGGTGCCATCCCATCTGCAGAGGATCAAAATTGTGATGGCATGTCTTTGGATCATCCTCAGGAATGTTTCCCAGACCGTCGCCAATAGTCCATTGTGTAGCTCCAGTGCGACGAAAATGAACAACAACAACAACATAAATGAACAACAGAACACAGAACTCAAGCATCACTGACTGTGGCTGTAAGCAGGTGGGTGACCACTTTTATCCGCCTGCGTAAAGTGCTTGACTTCGCACGCAGGTCGTCAGGTTACCAAAGCAGGGGAACCATCTCCACTGCAGAGGATTGAAATTACGATGGCATGTCTTCGGATCATCCTCCAATGAAGTTTCCCAGACCGTCGCCAATAGTCCATTGTGTAGCTCCAGTGCAACGTAAATGAACAACAAGAACAACATAAATGAACAACAACAACAGAACACAGAAGTCAAGCATCACTGACAGTGGCTGTAAGCAGGTGGGTGACCACTTTTATCCGCCTGCGTAAAGTGCTTGACTTCGCACGCAGGTCGTCAGGTTACCAAAGCAGGGGAATCATCTCCACTGCAGATGATTGAAATTACGATGGCACGTTTTCGGATCATCCTCCAATGATGTTTCCCAGATCGTCGCCAATAGCGCACTGTGCAGGGCATATTGTATTGCTGTTGTTGTAGTTCATTTAAGTCGCTCTAGAACTGCGCAATGGGTTATTGGCGACGGTCTGGGAAATATCCCTGAGGATGATCCGATGACATGCCATCACAATTCTGATCCTCTACAGAGGGGATGGCACCCCCGCTTCAGTAACCCAACCTGTACGTGAAGTCGAGCAGTTTACGGTAGAACAGTTTAATGAGGACCAATACCGCCCACCCTCGGTCTCTACGCAGACTGATCCAGATGATCACCCACCTACACACTGACCGCAGCCAGTGATGCTTGACTTTGGTGATCTGCTGGGAACCAAGTCTTCGCGATTAGTCCACTACGGGACCCATAGTGCAGGGCAGCTCTATAATTCAGAGTCAGCTGGTTACTTTTTGGGGGTCTAAGATCAGTTGCATTACCCTCTGGTAGACAATGTGAAAAATTCACTCATTGGTCTAGTAATTTCTGTGTAAAAAATTTTATGTATTTAAAATATTGTTAATATATTTAAAAAGAATAATGTGTAGCTATAATTCTTAAAATAAATTATGAAATTAAATTCCAAAAAATGATGAGAATTCTTGGATTTTTATTAATTCTTATCAATTTATTAGAAAAAAAAATTTTTGTTTTCATCTAAGTCAGTTTTTAAAAAAAAATTTTTTTTACGAAATTTTAATAATGAAAGTTATTCTAAATACTAATTTGAAACTTTTCCACAATGATTTTTCTCAGCTAGTTACAATGACTTCTAAATCGACCAATAGTCCAAAAACGACTCGGGAGTTTCAAAAATGAATATTGATACTAATTCAGCCTCAACATTGCTCAAGCCATTATAAAATTAGAAAATATAAGTAATAAAAAAAGGTGCAATAAATCCCATAAAATATAAACTTGAATTTCATAACTCAATTTTATGCAAAAAAAAAAAAAATTGCAAAACGGATCAAGATAATTTCAAAATGTAAGGTATGAAATACCTGATGTATTGAAATCAAAAATGGAAACAAACTACGTAGCAAAATGGCCGCATCATTCGTAAACTTGAAAAACTTTATTTATTTATTTATTTTTTTATCTTGTTTGAAGTTTTATAATGCTTTTAACGATGTTTGAGCAAAACCCAATTTGTTGTGTTGATAGCAATTTCTATCCTAATTTTGTCGATTGTCCGTATGACGTATTTTTTATACTGCTGTGAAGAATTTGCTTACAGCTGGGAAAATATTTTTTTTTTAATGCGTGTGAAATTGATATGCTTTTTTAGAAACTTATATTTCGATTTTATAAGACCATTATTATTTTATGTGGTAACCGCAATTATATTTATATCTAGAGCGGCCCCATTTTTCCAAAAAAATAATCCCCAAACGGTACGGTCCACCGCGAACTTTAAACGCTCTTCCTAGTCAGGAACTGCCTCTAAGAATTAATGTGCATGCTGTGAAACAGAAAACAACTACAGTATTAAAAAANCCCAAACGGAACGGTCCACCGCGAACTTTAAACGTTCTTCCTAGTCAGGAACTGCCTCTAACAATTAATGTGCATGCTGTGGAACAGAAAACAACTACAGTATTAAAAATAAATATTAAAATAAATATCTTTCATTTTATAATAAAAACCAACTTTATTTATTAATTCAGTTTTTTTAAAAAGTTATTATCAATATAGAACACAATTTTTTAAAATCTAGTTTCATAATTTGTAAATCTCTTACTTTTAATTGATAGGAATAACGGAATAGATCTTAAAGAACTATTGATAGGAATCGACTATTAATAGGAACGCTCCTGAAGAGAATGGAATCTTGAATGATGAAAGAGGAATGAAAAAGATCAAAACCAGTTGGATTGCTTGCTAAAATTTGGGGTGCTTCTCTTCTTCTCTGTTTCTTTGGCTTCTTTGTTCATCTCTTCTACTCTTCACTTCTTCTTTCCAGCAATCTAACAGATTTTGATATTTTCAGCCCCTCCCCCCGCCAACCCTCAGTAGAGCATTTGTTTTTCCTAGCTTAAATTCTATTTTGTGACCTTGAATGTGTATATTTTTTTCTTCTTTTTTTGATAAGGGTTCTAAAAATATTTACTAAGATAGATCATTACTGAACTTCAATACACTCGGAAATCCTGTCTGCCTGATATAGTTTCTTAGGTGCCCCCTCCACCTCTTTCGTGTTTTGTGATAAGGACAGAGACGGAAAATAAACAATGATTGGATTAAAAAGTGAAAACTTCCTTTTGGGAATCTAAGATTGGTGCATCATTTTGATGGTGCCATAGGGATAGTGTCAGAGGAGGTATACGGTGAAATATATATATATGTTACCGTTAAAGTATGAAATCTGTTATTTTATAGAATACCTAGTTATTCCATGAAATAACTGATCGTGTCCGTTAAAGTGTAAAACTCTCTTGTATTTCATGGTTTAACTAGTTATTTCATGGAATAACGATCTGAAGCCCGTTAAAGTGTAAAATAATCTATATCATATATCTCGCGTGACAAATGTTTAGAAGTTCAAGCGAAAAAGAAGAAATTAATGTTAGATAAATCTCATTCTGAAGCCTCTGTGGGGTTTACCGTCCGTATCCCAGTGCCTGAAGTTGACAGAGGAAAAGGTGATGCCACATCTATTTCAGCTATCATCATAAAAATTACCGAAGAAGAATTTTTCCAATTGGGCACAAGAAACGGCCGCATAAAACAATTATATTCCAGATCCCAGTTCAGTGTCTGCGAACAAAAATTAATTAAAATCGAAAAAGTACCGGATGTAGAAATATGGCTCCGGTCGGTTGCTACAGCTCAAAGTTTAGGTACTAGTCAGGGATTTAAAAAATGTTCGTTTAAAACCCAGTGTGTCAACAAAAAATGTTTTTGTTTTAGAAATAATGTTCTTTGTAATTCCAAGTGTCATTTTAGTAATCCTTGTTGTAACAAATGATTTTATGGTACGTTTCCATAAATACCATTTATACGCTGCATAAATTAGATAAATTGCTTCTTTTTCATTTTAATTGTCTATCATTAGTTTATTTATAGAATACCTAGTTATTTCATTTTAGATAAATTGTTTATTTTACACTTTAACTGTCTCTCATTAGTTAATTTATAGAATACCTAGTTATTTCATAGAATAACTAGTTAAAGTGTCAAATAAATAACATATTACACACTTTAACGGACACGATCAGTTATTTCATGGAATAACTAGGTATTCTATGAAATAACTGCATTATATACTTTAACGGTAACATATATATATATATATATATATATATATACAATATTCATTTTTTTTATTAATTTCGATTCATTTTCGATGCGACATTGAAAGGTAGTTGCTAGGGTGAACACATCGATTAAAAATATAATCTTGATAACAAATATTAAAAGCTCCGAAACGACATTACTTTCCGGTTCCATATATATATATATATATATATTCATTAATAAACTTATGAGTTTGAGAGGTAATTTAATAAAATAATGATTACACAATTTAACAATATAAATTCAATAATCAGTTTTATAGTGTTGCGATTCGGACTTGACTATTTCAATGAAAAGCGGATTTTAATTACTATTACGCCAAGTCTTTTAGAGTGGTACTAATTATTTTGTTTCATACTGTTCAAATTGTACACGGAACTTAATAGATAAATAAGAATAAAAAAGTGAAGAAAAAAAAGCTGTCTGCTTTTTAAATTCTCTTTTTCTTTTCTCTTTATGCCTATGTGTGGTTCCACAAAAATGCTTTTTATCTCTATATCTTTGATCATTGATTACTTTAGGATTAATTTCTGACATAAATTTCTTTGACTATTTTTTTAAACTGCTTGTGCACGCATTTATATGCATATGACTAGTAAAACTTTAAAGATTTCGCAAAAACTTATACAAAACCAAAAGTTATTAAAGAATAGTGCGTTTGAAAATTTATTGAGCAAATTATTATCGATTCAGATGAGTTCATTTAAATTTCTTCTTATTCACAAGCATTTTTTTAAAAAAAATTTAAATAATTTTTTTTTATACATGAACTTAATCTCTTTCTTTTTTTTCGAAAGAAAATATTTATTTATTTATAAGAATTTCAAAATTAAATCTTTTGATTAATTTCATAAAATTCGAGTGAGTTTAGTTCATTTATATTTTAATGTAAAGTACAAAATTCAACAGCTGAAATGCAGAACACAATAAGATACAGTTTAATGAAAATAAATGTCCTAATAATGAATCATATGTTCATTACTAAACTTTAATAGCTTATGTTTTTTGAGATTTTATGTCTAAAAATAAATAGATAAATAGATGTTTTTGATTGTTAATAATTGCTTAAATATTAGTTCAGAAACATGTTTTGTTAAAAAGGCTTTTTATATTTAGCAATTTTTTATTCCGATAAATGTTAATAAATGGTTACATGTTAGTATTCAGATTTCAAACTTATATTAGTGCTTCCGATGAAAACTAGATGGCACTACTAATTCAGATAATTCAAAAAAATCTTCTTATAATAATCCAGTCAAATTGCAAAATAAATAAATAGGTAGACTAAAAAGATAAAGTCAAAATTAAGTTAGTTGCAATGAATTTTAATTTTGGTACAGGTACCAAAAATATTTAAAACAAACTGTACTCAGAGATAATTGTAAAAGACATTATCGTTTTAATACTTTTGAAAAACAATAGGGTTTGAAATGCTTAATTAAACTCGTTTTCAAAGTTTCGATCAAATAGATTTTCCTTTGTAATTAGCTTCTGAAGAAAGGTATTAATTTTTTTAAATTTATAATTAACTTAAATCTAAAATGTATGTGTCAATTTATAAATCATTTTCTAATTTTGTTGGAGTAAAAAGAATAAGGAATTAGTAAATGTAAATTATCAACATTTATTCCATACATATGTTGATTGTTTTAGGTACTATTAGTATTAGGTATTAAGTATGAATTTGCAAAAATGTATACCTTTCTGGTTCACTATTGGCACAATCAGATAATTTCTCAATTGTAAAATTCATGAACATAAAATGGAAATTCTGAAATAAATTTAATAAGTATGGTATTGGAAAATAATTATAAAAACGTGGATCTTCTCTCTAATTTAACGCTATTACTCAAAGTTGTAGGATCAAAATTCAAATTTTTGTTAGAAATGTATGCGGCACTTATGACTTCATGACGCCTTATTATAACAATGAATGATAGACTGATTTTGTTAAATTGAAGCGAATCGTCATTATTGTTGTACTATTTATTCATTATTAACCATACAATTTTTAAATGTTAAATTCATAAATATAAATTTAATCAGTACAGTACTGGCCAAATTGTTACAATAATTTGTTTTTTTAATTACTAATTTAATGAAATAAAACAAAAATTAAATTCTATTATTATTTAAATATTGTTATAAATATATATCTGTTCTTGTCAATATAGTTATAAATATATATATGTTTGGTAAGACCCCCAGAATCTGGTAGGACCTGTTACATGGATTATGGTTTTATTAAGTTATGATTTTATTAATTTATTTATCGGTATATGGTTTAATTAAGAATTATATTTATTTAATTTATCGCGGAACTGACTCAATTTATTATCTAATTTTTGCAATCCTTGTCTTATATTTCAATCGAAAATTAGTGCAATAGAAAATCCTATGTCATTGTTTATTTTTATTTCTTAGAATAGAATTTTCCTTAACTAATCTTATTCAGTACATAACCGACAAAACTAAGAATTTTATCTAAATTTTATATTGTGCAAACAATACTATAAAATTCTGCTCCAATTTAGTATAATGGCATCTGATTCTGTAAAAATTATTACACAAATTTTCGAAACAAGTACAGTGCGCAAAAAATAAACAGACCACCCTGAATTACTTTTGATCTAATGATCGGATCTTAATGTTCTGGGACTCAATGTTAATGGTTCGAGGAGGTGCCCTCAAATATGTTATTGTATTAGTGCAAACGATATTTTAAATTACAAAATCAGATACAAAAACGTACTTTCTCTGAATAAACATACCTTTTTTTCGATGGATTCGATTTTCTGACCCTTAAGTATAGGGGGTAGCCGCGATCAGGGAAATATGGTCTCAAAGTTTCGACATCTTAATGTTGATTTTACTTTTTTTGGATTTTGTTATATCTCAAGAGCTTTTTAAGGAAATAGAAAATTTTTTGCCCTCAATTATAAAATTTCTTTATCCAAAAATAAAACCATGCAAAAAATAATTCTTTGTAAATATTTAGAATCTTTAATTATTTTATTTAATAATAGTCGAAAAAATTTTGAATTGTAAGTTACGCAATTTTTCATTTTAAAAAATGAAATTTTACTTGGCAAAATGAAAAATTCGATCAAAATTGGTTGAATAGTACCTGAGAAATCGAATTTTTAAAATACTTTTTTTAAAATTCGATTTCTCAAGTCGATTTCCCACGAATTTTGAATTTTGCCACGCAAATTTGCATTTTTTAAAATGTTGAAAAAAATTATATACCATTTATAAATACATCTTTTCGCAAATCTTTAGTATTTTTAAATTTTTTATTACATAAAAGTCGAAAGAATTTTGAATTGTAAGATACGCAATTTTTCATTTGAAAAAAAGCAATTTTACACGGCAAAATACAAAAATTTGAGCAAAATTGGCTGAATAGTGGCTAAGAAATTGAATTTTAAGTGCACGACTTTTTAAAAATTCAATTTCTCTGGAACTATTCGATCAAATTCCCACAAATTTTCGAATTTTGCCAAATAAGTTTACATTCTTTGAAATTATACAAAAAAATGCCTTTCTAATCAAAATTTTTTCGACTATTATTAAATAAAATAATACTCGGAAAATAAAATATAAAAATAGTAAATATTTACTAAAAGTTATTTTTTGCATAGAATTATCTTTGGAGAAAAGAATTTCTTAATTGCGTGGAAAATTATTTCAATTCGGAATACAGCGAACTGCGCAAAAAATAAAATTAACATTAAGGTTTCAAAGAATCGCTTTCCTGACCAAACTATGGCGGACATATTTCTAAGATAGCGGCTACCCCTTGGGGGTCAGAAATTTAAATCAGTCAAAAGACAAAAAAATACAAAACCGTATTTTTATTTAAAAAAGGTATATTTTTATGTCTGATTTCGTAGCTTAAAATATCGTCTGCACTAGTTAATTAACATAATTGAGGTCACCTCATCGAATCATTAAGATTGAGTCCTAGAACGTGAACATCTGATGATTTGATCAAAAGTTATTCGGGATAGTCCTTCTATTTTTTTTACGCTCTGTAAATCCGTCCTTAAAAAATAAATTGTGACTTCTATAAACATTATTTTTCAGAAAATATATTTAATGTTTTGTTTATGTGTATCCAAGAGCCGTGTTTCTGTCTCCGCCTTGTTAACCTTTTCTCTTTAACATTCCTTATCTTCAATTTGTTTATTTTACTTTTAATTTTATATTCTGAAGATAAAAATATTTTTTTTAATATTAAATAATGTTAGTAAATTAATCATCTCAGTATGCGTAAAATAACATTAAACCTTCCCTATTTGCATAACCCTTTATAACATAAAGACAATAAAACACTCGATTGGTGAAGAATTTTTGTATAATTAATTCTTCTTTTTTGTTACGACGATCTATTTTTATAGTCTTAAGTTTACTACAAGAGGAGGTTTACATAATATTATATGTAAATCTAAACTTTTAGCCTTTACTTAACCTATTTTCTGAATGATAGAGTATTCTTATTCAGAATACTAATTAAACGTAGTTAAAAAGTTTTTTTAAAAAAAAAATAGTGAATTTTAAAATTAAGATCTGTTTGGGTCAAGGTGATGTGAGACAACTGCATATATTTTGCAAAACAGAGGAGAAAAATATGAAACATTAGATACTCCATAAATAAAGAGGTGCGACTTTAACTATTATTGAACAAAATGCCGTATAAATTTTTTTCCTTATTTTTCGATTATTATGTATTTAAAAAAAATTAATTATCAAGTTAAAAAAGAAATGTAGATAGATAGATAGATAGATGGATAGATAGATAGATAGATGGTTAGAGATAGAGAGAGAGAGAGGGACTATTCACATTTATTATGTTTTAGATTTGGTAAACGCAAAGATAGTTTTTATTTAATTAAAAATAAAATAAAATAATAGTTTAATTTGAAACTAAATTCAGAGTGGATTGTAAATAGCCTCCACAACTAACTTAATTTATGAAATTTAATTAATTTACCAATGAAAGTATTTCAATTTCGATTATGTAAAAACAATTATTTCTAACTATTAATTATAAAAAACGTTTTAGCATTAATAGTACGATAAACTTTCTTCTTTGTTTAGTTTTAGTTTTCTTTCTATTAATTAAACTAATCATTTTGTGCTTTGTCGCTTATTATTTTCTTTTCTTTTCCCTCTTAATGTAAGTTAATACAAAAATTTAAGTAATGTCTTATTATCGCGCTCTACAGATTCTTTTTTTTTCTATCACACCCCTTTTAAAATGTAAGAACAGCACAGGAATTTTCATGTTGCCTTGCACAGACATATTTTAACGATTTTTACCTTTTTACGCCCTTTTCCTCCGAAACAAAAAATAACAAGAATAAGAATTTTCTTTACGTAACAGTTAAAAGTTACATTTATCAGTGATGAGTTATCAGATATTTTCTTCAAGATTTTCATCTTTTTAATTGTATTTAATTATTTAATTTCTTGTCATTTCGTTAAAAAATTGTCCTAGTTACACAACGCTAATCTTAACGCAAACTCAAGAGCTTTATTCAGCTTAAATATTTTTTTACAGTTTTTGGATTTTAAGGGTTCCCTCTCCCGAAACAAAAGATAACAGGAATAATAAACAGCTGATCCTCAAAATGCAATCCAATCATGAGAATCCACTATATTATTTACGTTGCATTAAAATATAAACAGAATTTATCAATGGCAGTATTTGAAGAATTGATACACAATAAAGCTAGTCTACACCTTGGAGAAAAGTAGCCTTTTTCACCAAACAGTAATTAGTATTGTTTCAAGGTAGGTACTTTACGAGTTTCTACATAATAATAGCGTAATACATAAAGAAATCATATCGCTTACATGGAAATCGCGATGTTTTTCACCCAAAATGTTCTGCTGAGCAATTTGAAATTGCGACTTATTATATTGCCACAAGCTTTTCATTTAAACATTTAATTTGAGAGGGGCATGCTATTTTTCTGCTATTATGAACTATTATCATGCTATTATGAACCAGACATCTTAAACTGATTGAACTTAAAAAAAATAAAGATGAATTAAGAGTTCATTAGTAAGCACGCTCTGTAAACTTTTGTTTAATCATGTATGTAACTATAAAATAAAATTTAAAGAATCAATTAAAAATGAAAAATTTTACTTTTAAACTAATGAAGCTACACTTTACAAAATTTTAAGCTTCGGAAATAAAGAATTCAATAATTGTCCCTTTTCAGTTATAGTTAATTCTTAAAATGATTGCGTCATTAGTTAGCTTGTTCCGGTTAAATATATTAACACAAAAATTTTTAGGGAAAAAAATTAATATCAAATATCAGAACCAGAATAACAAATAAATTGAGAAATGTATATTAAAAATATACATATCATGTTCGTTAATGTAACTTATATCACAAAACCCGATCACTGAAATAAGTAAATTAAAATGGACGAATATTTTGTTAAAACTAAAAATTTAAAAATACGACTTCTTGAAATATTTATAGCTCAGGAACTTTTCAACCGATATCATTCAAGTTCTGAATTTTTGTCAAATTTTGTAAAATTACTTTACACAAGATGTAAAAATTTTTATACCTTACAATTCAAATTTTTTTCCATAATTATTATAAGGAGATAATAAGAAATAATCAATAGTAATAATAATAATAATCATTATTATAATAACAATAATTATTATCATTATTACTTTTACATGTAAACCAGCCAGTGTATCAACGAATCCGATACTTTGTACAAACTATTTTTCACGTTTCGGGCAAATATTCTCTAGTTTGCTTGAATAATTTCGAAGATATGGTTAATTTTGCAAAAAAATAAAAAACAATACATTGATCTCAAACTTTTAATAGCCCTCCAGACAAAATTATTACAACCATATTTTCTAGATTGAAGATTAGCTGCATTTAATATTTATCTATTTTTTTTAAAATTTTTTGTCTGATTTCCTAACTTAAAATGTTGTTTGCACACACTAATTAGCATACATCTTGAACCATGAAAATTACATCTTAGTACAGGTAAATCTAATTATTAGATCAAAAGTTAATCAGGACGTAGCGTTTTTTGTCTAGTACTTTGTTTCATGTATTATATCTATTTATCTATCGATTTGCTTATCCATCTCTCTCTCCGCATATATATATATATATGTATATATATATATATANGTGACTGGTGTACGCTAGTGGGTTGCAAAGTTCTTCAAGTTCAGTTCAAGGAAAATAATTGAGAACTTTTATATATATATATTATATATATATATAATATATATAATATAGTTTATATATATAATATAGTTTTGGGTGGGTGCTCATCCCCCACCCACCCAAAACTGATAGCGACATCCCCCTGAAATTTAAAAAGCTTTTCCCCCCGTAGTCTGTCAAACACAAATATAGATACCAAATTTTTTTATTTAAATAGCAATCTTATATATAAGCACAATGTAAACCCCTTGCTTATTTCATTCTAGCTTAGACAACTTTGGGCCTCGCAAAATTGTTTTTACTTCGCCCCCCTCGGTACCATCCTGCAGGCATCCCCGATTTTTAGTGAAATTAACTGGTATTTGTCTAATATGGAGCGAACCTTTCACGGTTAGCTAGACAGAACTCTACCAATCGAGAGTAAACGAATCAGCGAGCCATTCACCGCCGTCATAAATGGAAAGTAACATCTTAATAGTCCTGAATCGTATCATATTTTATTTATAAATATTAATTAATCTCAAAATCAGTAATTTCGAATGAAATAGGATGTAAGGAATTTGCAACATCTAGGCAATATTTCCTGCTAATCTGGATGATTTATTTGAAGCTACCTGTGTTGCTTTATGAATAACAATAATAAAATATTTTCACAGAGAAAAAGAGAAATAAAATTTTAATCATCTGGTTTATAGCAATTTTAAAAAAGAGGTCATTATTCTCATATTATATTATATTCTCATATTTTAATATAAATAGTAAATCTCACTACATTAGAGAAAAATTAAAAGAATCAAATGGAGGCGCCGGGTATCGATCCCGGTACCTCTCGCATGCTAAGCGAGCGCTCTACCATCTGAGCTACGCCCCCGATAGTTAGGTATAGTTAACAAAATAAAAACTTTAATGTCTTGATATTATTTATATACCTTAATTTTGTAGGTATCATAGCAAGGCCTACATTGCATTCCAATTTCTCAATATTGATTTTTTTTTTGTAAGGGTTGAAGCATCTACACAGAAACTTGAAAAATAGGATCAAAAATTTTCCTGAAATTCTGAATTGTTTTAAAAGCATATTTCAGTCATAATTACTATTAATTTCTACTGAGAACTAAAAGTAAATTTTGTGGTTACATATAAAAGAAATCTCTAGTATGTTGTATAGATAATTTGCATTCATTTCTATAGTTTGTGTTTCAGAAAATAAGAGCTTAAATAAATTTCAAATAAATCGAGAAGATTTAGCTATTTTGTTACGAATCGATAGAAATGTTAATTTGTTAATGTTTATGTTAATTGTTAGGTATACACGGCTAAAAGTCTTAAAAAAAAATTAAAAAATGTGATTAAAAATAAAAGCTTTTCTAGAAAAGATACTTTGATTTGATAGCTAGCCTTTTAGTCAATTCTTTCTAAAAGTATCTGAAACTATTTGGTGCCCTTCCGTTAGCCGGGTAAAAGAGAAAGAATGCCAAAAATTTTAGACCTACGCCAACTTTTCATAACTTTTTTTTAATTTTCTTTTACTATTTCTTTTTTCTTTTTTTCTCTTAACTAAATTTAGTTTAAAAAATATTAAAAAATGGGAAAATAAGAAAAAGTTAAATAAAAAAAAATAGTCGATTTTCTTTGCCTTCTGCTAACCGAAAAGTACCATATATTAAAAAAATTTTCAGAACATTTATTAATTTTGAGAGGAAATCAACTACTTCACTTACTAAACAAACTACAAATCAAACGAGTACCTATGGTGTAGTGGTTATCACATCCGCCTAACACGCGGAAGGTCCCAGGTTCGAAACCTGGTAGGTACAAAGATTATATTTTATCAACTTTTTGTTTTTTAATTTTAATGTCGTAGATTTTCTATTCCAACTATTCCATTCAATTTTTCCCATTTTCCCAAGCATTTTTTACGCGTTTTTTCACTATAAAAAACAACAAATTTCCAAGGCGCGAAATGAAAAATTTAAAATGGAACAAAACTTCGACTTAATCGTTGAACTAAACTCTAAAATAAAGATTTAAAAAAAAAAAAATAAATAAATAAAAGAAAGAAGAAAAAGGAGGAGGAGGAGGAGAAAAAGGGGAGACCAATACCAAGATATTATTAATATTTATAGCATTATATTCCAGAAATATTTATAAAGTGGAAAGTTATTTTTATTTATTTATTTTATTTTTAAATTCCAGGTTTCAACAACAGAAAAAACTGAGAACAGAAAAAAATTGCAGATTGGAACAGATTAATGCATAAAACAGCAATACATTTAAATAGGAAGAATATATACTTGATAATGCCAAACACAGTAGGCAGAATACTCTTTATTTTACAAATTCACCCATTCATATGGTTGGTAAAACATATGCTTTTAAAATAAGAAAATATGTGCGCAATGTTAGAAATGAAAAGTAATTCTACTTAACTTTATTGAAGCACTAGTAAACTTTTCTTTGCAATTATGAATCATGTATTGTAATAAAACAATAAAGTTTAGAAAAAGTCGAAAAGATATTGTAACGAAGCTATACTGTAACATACACTGATACTCGATTTTTAAAGTCCGGATAATTTTTACAGCTTTATTCAATTATATAGTATTGCAATTTACTCGGAAAACACATTCTGAAAAAAAAAAAGATTTAAAATACTGCTTGAAAAACAATCTTGTAAATTCTGATCAACGTTATAAAGAATGCAATAACTCTGATCATGGCTAAATAGATTTTTTTAAAAAAAAATTTCAAAGCGCATTATCTTGCAACTGAGAAACCCAACACACAGTTAATTAATTTTGTCTTAAAATTAGTGCTGAGCATTTAATCCATAAAGCTGATTAGCGGACCTTAATTTTAACTCTGAAACTTCATAATTTTGAATCCAACTCAGAAGACTAGAGGATCTTTGGATCAACCTTTTACTGTTAGTTAGACAGAGCTCTACCCTATGATCCGTTCAACAGTTGGGAAATTTTCCTAGAGTAGCTATACTTTCGGAGAATAAAAACCGAGATTAAGAAACGAATCAGCAAGAGATTCATCACCGTGATTCCAAAAATAAATGGAAATTAACAACTTATTCGCCATATCCCGAATCATATCATAGATTATTTATAAATGCTAATTAATTTCAAAATCAATAATTTCGAATAAAATAGTATGTAAGGAATTTTGCGATGAATTCAAATATGAAAGTTAATTATTAAACATTAATAAATTTACAACATTATAGAATTGCTTTCATTCTTACAAAGATTAGAGTTAATATAATCGAGAAAAAGAAAATGTTACAATCTGACTGAAAATGGAGGCGCCGGGTATCGATCCCGGTACCTCTCGCATGCTAAGCGAGCGCTCTACCATCTGAACTACGCCCCCGATACTGTGCAATGTGTAAACAAAACATAAGTTTTAATGAAAGACCTTAATTTTGTCGATGTCGTACCTAGATCATTCCTAGGTTCATATGTCATACCTACTAGGTTTTTTTCACTTTCTAACTCCTTCATATTGAACTTTTGGTAAAATACGAAAATTCTGCTGAGAAATTTTAAAAAAAGAGGATTTAAAATTTTTCTGAAATATTGAATTGTTTCAAAAACTTATTTCAGTCATGATTGCTATTAATTTCTATTGAGAATTAAAATCAAATTATGGGTTTGCGTGTAGAAGAAATCTTTATTAACTTGTATGTTGTACAAATAATTTGTATTTATTCCCATAGTTTTTGTTTCAGAAAATAAGAGCTAAAATGAATAGAGAAGCTTTAAGTTATTTTATTTTTTAAAATTTTTTAGTTTGTTAATGATTGCGGTGTTTTCCCTTATATTTCAGCATATATTAACATGTAGATATACAAAACATACTATTAAATCATATTATTAAATAGTAGAGATGCAATATTGCGTACCTATGGTGTAGTGGTTATCACATCCGCCTAACACGCGGAAGGTCCCAGGTTCGAAACCTGGTAGGTACATTTTATTTTTTATACCAGCTTCTCTATGCCAACGTTGAGCTTTTTAACTATACTACGTGGGGTTCTAGTTTTTATTGCTCGGAATAGTAATTGCATGGTACTGTTTTTTTTTATTTGCATAGTTTTTCTGTTAACATGTTTTTTTTTTTTAAATTTCGTTGAATTTAAATGCCGAACATATTCTATCCCATTCCTTTTATATCTCTTTATTCTATTCAATTTTTCTAACATGGACCACTTGCATTTTTAATTTAGACGATTTTTTAGAAAGGAGCCACAAAACTAAAAAAATTAAAAATTTACAAAAAAAAATTAAAAAAAAGTCTACTAATATCGCGTACAAAATTCTTAAATAACAATTAAAAAAGAAAGGAAAAAAAAAAAAGAAAACTGGTAAAAAAGACCAATACCAAGAGTGAAAATATTAATAACATTATATTCCAGTAATCTTTGTCAAAAAGAACGTTTTAATTAAGAAGTAGAACGCATAAATAATAAGTGTAAAAGCATTAAGGACAGCCATGAAAAAACTAATTTTCTAATGCAAGCTATTTAACTAATTTAAAAAAAAAAGAAGAAGTTATTTACTGTTTTAATTTAATTTAATTGAAATTAATTTCTTTGAACAAAATTATTTTTAATTTAGTGTTTTAATTCAACTAGCAAGTAGAAACATTGTAATTTATGATGACCTAACTGAGGTCAAGAAAGTGGGTTTAAATATAATTTAAAAAGAAAGCTGAAATTATGATAATAAATTCTATTTATGTAAAATTGTAAATACGTAATTGCTCCCGGTTCACACCAACTATAGTTTTGACGTAAAATATTCTTAGTGGTAGACGAACCACGAGTTAGAATTCCTCACCGGGAGATTTTCGTGGTTTCTCTCTCCATGTAACGCAAATGCGGTTTAGTTCCATAAAAAAGACCTTCCCGAAGGCAAAACTGTCCCAAGGCTTTCTCCATGAGCTGTCTTCTTTTCTGAGTTGGGTTCAAAATTACAAGGCTACGGAGTTGAACATTAATAGTCATAAACCCAAAAATCACTCGGGTGCTCAACTTATATTTTGAAATAATTCATGCAATTGCGAAATTTATATGTTGGCATGATCAAGAGGGCTATTTATCCGATATGAAATTCCATTCATAAACCTATTCTGTTTATTAATAAATCAATTAAAAAAAACCTAAATTTTGAATTAAAAATCAGCACTTTCTATCAAAATTAATTTTTCCGTGAACTTTGAAGCCTCCTGTATTTATAGGATAATATAGAATATACTCCTAAAGTACTTAATTAATAGTTCAATTGTTTAGTTTTTCTATTTTGAAAATAATTTCTTTTTTAGTTGAGAATTTACTAGTACCTATAAAATTTTTCATTACTATCAATTTCACTATTTTTATTTTAATAAACGATGAAATAGTTGGATATTTTTCAGATATTCAGGTAGATTTCAAATTTCATATGTCATCTACATCCCATAATTCTTTTCAGAAACGAAGAACACAACCACAATAGTCTTCCTTACTTCTCAACTTACTCATCTATTGTAAAACGTACTCTATCCATATTTGTCAACTTGTCAATGTCATGTCTATTAAGTAAATATAGTAAGGTGACTTTGACCACTCTAGCCATCTCTTCCAAAAGTGAACGAACCTTGAAAATATAAACAAACCGGAAAGAACTCATCGGGCATCGTACCCACTGACCCTCTGCCCTATACAACAGCTGGTAAAAACTTTCTGTTTGAGATGATGATGGACCTGGGATGGAAAAAAATATCTGCTATATAACTTTCCCCAATTTCCCACACAAGTTCTCTTTTATTTTGAAACGGAAGCTCTGGTCGTAGCACCCTCGCGCCAAGTGCCCACGCATGGTGCAAGACTATTGTAAGATTAAGGGAAATTCAGAAGATGGTGTTAGGGAAAAATAGAAAGAAGGTTCAATGTCAATGTCCCAAAAGCCGGTATATTATGTTTTGTAAGAATGGAATCAATAAATTTTTTTTTAAAAAATTGCAATCGATTTTTTCAGAAAAGGTATTTTAATTATGAATTAGTAACTAGTAAATAGCAAACAAATAATAATATATGATTATTAGTGAATATTTTTCAGCATTTGAGTTGAAATCAAGATATTAGGCTTGTATTTAATAATCTGAAAAGATAAAATTGTTTTTAAAATTGCAATCGATTTTTTTAGAAAAGTTATTTTAATTATGAATTAGTGACCAGTCAATTGCAAACAAACAATAATATATGATTATTAGTGAATATTTTTCAGCATTTGAGTTGAAATCAAGATATTAGGCTTGTATTTAATAATCTGAAAAGATAAAACTAATTTTAATATTAGTAGCGACAGCCAGTTTATTTCATTCTTCTTATTTATTTACCGATATATGACATTGGCTAGATGTAATTTATTCAACACAGTTTATATTAATTCCTTAAATAATATGTACCGCGAGGAATTCATTACATGAAATTTATATCTAGCTATGGTAAATAAATGAAAAGAATAAAATAATCTGACCGGCCTGCTAATATATTACATCATTTGAGTTGACATCAAGATATTAAGCATGTATTTAATAATCTGAGAAGATGTAACTGTTTTTAATATTAGTAATTACAGTCAGATTATTTTATTTTTTTATTTATTGACCAATATTAAACAATAGCTATAGCTCGTTCACCAGGAGTTGGCACTTGGCTCCGCCTTCATCACGTGGTTATGCGACGATACTATTTCGCTATTTTTGGGAGAAGGTTGTGAGCAATCCTGAACGATCTTGCTATTTGGCGATCGTTTAGCAAAAATATTTATTTCGCAAGCTTTATGTGCATTTTTTTAACAATAAATATTTCATAAATTTGATGATATTTTGCACCATTTTTTATGATATTTCTTTCTTTTGAGTGAATACTTTGTCCTTTATTATGAGTCATTTCGCTGGGAGTACAGCAGTTTTTAAATTTAAACTATATTTAATTAGCTAGTGTAACAAAATGTATAATAGTAGATGATAAAGCAAAGTAAGTGACTGAAAAAGAATTCACTTTTCGTGTTTGGCGCAAATTAAGGGTTGTCTCAATTTCAACAACGGAGATGTTTCTCTTCTAACTCCCGCGCTGAAATGAACTCTGCGTCCCAGGAGGTGGAGCCAAGTCTCAACTTCTGGTGAACGAACTATANTTTAATTATGAATTAGTAACTAGTAAATAGCAAACAAACAATAATATATGATTATTAGTGAATATTTTTCAGCATTTGAGTTGAAATTAAGATATTAGGCTTTTATTTAATAATCTGAAAAGATAAAACTGCTTTTAAAATTAATCGATTTTTTTAGAAAAGGTATTTTAATTATGAATTAGTAACTAGTAAATAGCAAACAAATAATAATATATGATTATTAGTGAATATTTTTCAGCATTTGAGTTGAAATTAAGATATTAGGCTTTTATTTAATAATCTGAAAAGATAAAACTGCTTTTAAAATTAATCGAT